GTGGTCACAAAGCACCAAGCTGATCTCCCTGTGCTATGTGGCTGCTTCCCACTACCAAACACTCATTTCTAGTGGCTCTCCAATTGTGTGCTTCCCCCATCTATTTCAAAGAAAATCTACCAGCAGAGAAGATTACTAGAATAAGTAATATGTACTTTGTATTTTTAAAAAGAAGAAACAAAGAACTGAAGAGAAATGCTGGACTGTGAGAGAAGACAAACACATTTTGAGTGTAATGTGTGTGAAACTGTATGCCTTGGAAAAAAGATAAATTATCAGCAGGATATAAAGTAAAGCTAAAGTAAAGATTTTTTGCTCAGAAATACTCTATATAGGTGGTTAATTGTTTTACTGTTTTCTCTCTAACACAAGTCATCCCCGTAAACTGGCTAAATGAAGGAAGCTCTACTTAAAGATGCCACAATTTCCATCCCAAATCAGGCTAGAAGTGATGGGGTGGGGTGAGAAGAAGGAAGCTGCAAAAACAAAACTGTGGCATTGGTAAATGCTGAGGTTTAACCTCTTGAATATTTGGGTCATCTCCTGGGGAGGAAATATCACGAAGGAGGAAAATCAAACCTCAAAAGAAAAGGCAAAGGCTATAAAAGTCATACTGGAACTAAAGTGTCACAGGAACAGAGAAAAGTATTGATTCAACTGTCCCCCAAACAGACTATCTGTTGAACCCAAACAAGAAATTACAGACAGTAGAAAGAAAAGATTAAATACAACTTCAGTGATTTTGAAAAAACTGTGTACAAGACACTAAAAAAACTGAGTATAAGACAAATTCAGTAGCCTCACTAAATTGTTTAAAATTCCTAATTTTCCTTATTTTATTTCCTACTGTCATCTTTTCAAAACACACCATTTGGCTGATTTAGGTTAAAGTCCTCTTAAAAATTTCAGTGTTCATTTATATACCGATTTACTGACTCCTAAAACTCTGCAAAAATTATTGCAAGCTTATCTTATATGTTTTTAATTTTCCTTCTCCTGTGTGATACAATAAACTTTGTTGAATTTTTCTGTATTACCTCTTATATACTTATATATCGTTAATATTGATGTCTTCTATATATTTTTGTTTTTCTATATTTCTATATTTTCTTTTGATATTTCCCATGAAAAAGTATCACCTTAAAAATCAATATTACCATAGAAACATATATATACAGAGCATATATAAAAAAAGAAAATAATAATATTTTTCCACATATCAATATTAAGAAAACATTTATAACAAAGTATATCACCATATACACTGCAGTTTGTCATCTTAAATTCAAAATGAAAATGGATATTATTAAATTATATAACAAACAGAACCTAAGAGTATTTGTTGTTTGGTTGTTTATTCAGTTGTTCAGTTAGAAAATTTTCAAATATTGATATTGAACCCTAAATATGAAGTCTGTCTGCTACTAATACAATAGGGTCTTTTAACAAGCATATTAATTAAGTACAAGGATTTTCTCCTATAATACAGGTAATTTAAACAACCTTTTAAGTTACTACTTAGATAAGAGCCTCATTCTAAATTGTCGGTGGTATTTTTATAGCACAAATTAGTCTTTGCCATAAAGCTTCATTAGGTGTTTGGGAAAATAAAAGTTGCAGTGATTCAGCTGTTTTAAGAAAAGAATACAAACTTCTTAAAAGTAAGTAGCAAAAGAAAGAAGAAGAAGGGTCCGGGCCCTTGAAGCATTTGCTTTCACTATGTACCTTTACTGTACTGATGAAAGTTAAATATTGAACACCACTGAATAACTCTTGAAAATATAAAGGGTAAAATCTAGGGGGAGAACTATAGCTGCATCCTTAAGAACAGGTATTACAGACAAACTCAACTCTTGGCTCTACCATTTCCTAGCTATTCTACATTTTACATGAAACGTTTTACTTATCCTATTGAGTATGTTTCCTCTTAAGTAAAGTGCTGACACTCATACCTAACAGGGAGGAGACTGTGAGAATTAAATAAAATAATGTATGTAAACATATAAGCCATGTAGTAAATGTTAATAAATGAAAGCTATTTTAATAAGTAAATATTTTCAGCAGTGGAAAAATCAATGTTTTTTTATGCTGGAGAAAAGAAAAAGAGCTTATTATTAACTAAATCAGAACTTGTAGTAGCCCACCCCTTATCCACAGGGAGTACATTCTAAGACACACAGTGGATTCCTGAAACTGCAGATAGCACCAAACCCTATATATACTGTTTTTCTTCCTATACATACATATCTATGATAAAGTTTAATTTATAAATTAGGCACAGTAAGAAAATATACAAATTTCCAGCATGACTCCTCTTGCGTTTTGGGGCTATTAAAATACAGGTTACTTGAACACAAGCACTATGATAGTGTGACAGCTGAAGTGTTACAGATGACTGACTAACAAGTGGGTAGCATATATAGTGGATACACTAAACAGGGGGATGATTCACGTCTCGAGTAGGATGGCATATTTCATCATGCTACTCAGAATGGCACATGATTTAAAACTTAGGAATTGTTTATTTCTGGAAAGTTCCATTTAATATTTTCATACTGAGGTTGACAATGGATAACTGAAACCAAGGAAAGTGAAATCACAGATAACAGGGGACTACTGTACTATAGATGAGGGAAAGTCTATAAGGTGAGATCCAGAAAATTTTAGTAGCCTACCTGAGGCTAAAGGATCCAGAATTTTTGTTAAGTAACCAGGCTTCCTGATATCTGGCCATTTTTCTACTAAACCAGCCTACCTTTCAAATGAGTCACTATAGTTTATTTTACAGTTTTTACTTTCTTTTGGATTATTTTCTTTTAGATTCATGTTAAATTTTTTAAATGAGTTTCCAGTTACGCATTACACTTTTAACTGAAACATACTGAAGATAATTTAAACAAACGCAATTATACTAATCATATAAATTAAACTGTGTATAAACTGGAAAGTGGTTGCACCTGTGTTTATAATTCTTATTTAATGAAACAATCAGTTAAATATTTTAATATAATATGAACATACTTCTAAGGCAATCAGTACATTTTCAGGATTACCAGAAACCTGAAAATATAGGATATTCAGGAATCAAATTGCCCAACTCTAAAAATTTATGAGAGACGAAATCTGTGGTAAACCACAATCCTTTTATACAAAAGTGTATGAGCAAGTTCTTATCTATATTGAAATGGTTTAAGATGATTTTTCAGAATGAGTTTGGCAGAGGAACTTGGAGTAGTTATCCTTAAAGGAATTCTGAAGAAATACAGAAAACTGAAGAAAGAGCTGTGAAATTCTTTAAATTTTAAAAATTGTGAAAAAAATATTTGACAAAATTTCTTCAGCTTTCATGTTGCAATAATATGATTGTAAGTTTCTTAAAACTGTCTTTAAAAATGAGGCATACCTTATTTAATATATTTTTAAATGCCTTTGGAAATAGCTATTCTACATATTTCACAAAGATCCTATTATGCAACCTAAGTATAACTGTCACAGTTCTAAAGTGGACTACAAATTTTATTTCTTTAAAGTATCACTAATGAACAATAAATGGTCATTTAGCTTTATATTTTTATAGAAGGGTTCCTGGATATAACAATATAAGAAGCATAACCTCAACTGAGATTTCAATAAAACCTATACACTTATGCTTTTTCACAACAAGGAAAGTAAGCTTATAAAACTTCCCTAGATAAACTTTCTCTATTCAATCACACTGTAAATAAAGAAACAATGAAATTTTCTGATTGCTTTCATTATTACTTTTAAATTTCAATTCATTTCTTGCTGGCCAAATTTCTCTATTGTTATTGGAGTACACACACTTACAGCTCATGAGCAATGTGCTGCTTTTTAAATAAACATCAATGAGGCAAACCTAGAACTACCTCTTGACAAAGTAAACTTGCTGACCCCCAGATGCTTTGTTTCTTCTGAGATGTCAAGGGAAGTTGGAACCTGGGATTTGTTTATGATCCCAGGAGTTTTCTACCTCTGGGATGAGCTGCATATGTAATACGAGAATACAGGATTTCCTGAGTGATCTTCACTAAGGTATCCCATGAATAATTAACGAGTCAGATCAAAAATATTTCTTTTGAGATGATGATTCTACCTTTGGATAAAAAAATCAAGAAAGGGCTTCCCTGGTGGCGCAGTGGTTGAGAGCCCGCCTGCCGATGCAGGGGACACGGGTTTGTGCCCCAGTCCGGGAAGATCCCACATGCCGTGGAGCGGCTGGGCCCGTGAGCCATGGCCCTGGGCCTGAGCATCCAGAGCCTGTGCTCCGCAACGGGAGAGGCCACAACAGTGAGAGGCCCGTGTACCACAAAAAAAAAAAAAAAAAAAAAAAAAAGGGTCATTTTTGATGTTTGATTTTTCATTATTCCTGAAGAAAAAAGAAAAGTTTTTGGTATATATCATTTCTGACATAAAAGTTGCAAAGACACAGTTCTTGAGACTGTAAAAGATACATTCTCTAAAAAGTGGTTTAGTCCATGTAATCCTTGTATTTTCTTTCCAATCTGCTCTCTCTGGGTGAATATATTTCTACTTCTCAATATCTTGGCAGCACAGGAAGCTTAGATATAATTGCTCCTATCAAATTCAAGATTTATCATTTTCTATACTACTATATATACAAGTATATTATTCACTTTCATTTCTCTTTGCTTGGACCTGGAGAGATATAGTACTGGCATACCACTCTTTCATCCTTTTTCTAAATATTTTATATTCTTGCATTAACAAAAGCGTTTTAGAATAGATACTGATATACAGAAATATATAGTCAAAATTAAATGCTGCAGGATCATGCAGTCAACACCTAATTCTTCCAAGGGTGGGGAAAATGTAAGACCCTGAAAAATTAAAATTAGCCAGTTTTTAAATATAATTTATGTGATTATTTTTATGTTTTCATAGAGACTATGTTGTCAATGCATGCAAAACAAAGCTTAATATCTTTCCTTTTTACAAGAAAAGTACAGGAATATACATACTGTAAGGGACACATTCATACTGCACTTCAAGGTATTTATAGGTTCCCGGACATGGGTCTGGAAAAACATCGGGACCTGCCACCACTGCACACTGGGTTCTGTTATTGCACCTGAAGTCAAAAGAGAAGAAAAGAAAAAAATAATAAGTTTCTACATAGTTAAATCATTATTAACACTAATACCAATTTTATTTTAGTTCCTAATTACACAGATTTAAATAAGGTTTTGGTCAATTTAGGGTTTTAGACTTGTTAAGGAAATATCTATAGTATACCTAAAAAAAAACTAGACACTAAAATATTTATTCAGTTTATTCATATTAACTAATTTAATATTTGATTGAACACAGCATGATTTTGAGTTAGGAGTTAAATACTGCTTAAGCAACATTAACTGGCCGATAGGATATTGCCAGTGTGAAGACAGGACGATTTGGTAGGAAAAACTCACTCTCTTATAAAAAAAATAATTAAGAAAATAGAACCACAGAGCTTTACTTAGGTTTAAATTCACTGATTATCATATTATTTATTTTATAGGCAATAAACATATGGTTGAAATGCTTTTAGCCAAACCTAAAAAATAAAATCAGTAAAAACTTTAAATATTAAAATATATCTAAAAATTTAATTTATATAAATTAATATAATAATAAACTAATCCCATAAGTAAAACCATTTTTAAGAATGGACTCATATTCCTCATGTACAGCCAAATAACGACACTAACCTTACAGATTACTATTCACAAATGCCAATATCCTATAATTTAGAATAACTTTAAATCTCCAAAGAGAATAATCAGACATCACTATTGAAACAGAAACACAAACTAGGCATATTTTGTGGCAATTGGGCTAAATAGATCTGGGTTAGCAGATTTACTCATAGGTAAATAAATATACATATAATGAAATTGATTCCTACTCTGAAAAAGACACCCAAAGTCAGAGTGGCCTCCTTACAGTAAATTTTACTCTAAAACTTTCTAGACCCAATAGCGCTCCTCCCTTCCTTCCTTCCTTCCTCCCTTCCTCTCCCTCCCTCTCTTCCTTTCTTCCTTCCTTTCTTTTCTTTCTTTTTCTTTCTGCCTTTCCTTCCTTCTTTCTTTCCTTCCCTTCTTTCTTTCCTTCCTTTCTTAAAAAGATGCTTGCTTTTTTGATATGATCAATACCTCTGAATCCTTGCTAGGCTACTAGTTGGATAAGGAGCATTTAGGGCAGAACTCATTTTGATTTAGAGTGAAAATGCTTTGAGTTTACTCAAGGCTATCATTTGCCAGGCTTACTGAGGATTTTATTTAGTCCCTAAATTAAAATTGATTCATTAGTAAATGTCTAAAACTGAAAAATACATTTCGTGTTATCAGTGGAAGATTAATAAAACCCAATATTCCATTCTCATCAGTTAGTTTAGCATAACAGCTAATCCTGAGGGTCAACATGTTCTAAAGTTCTCTTGTGTAGATTTAGTGTCTAAAGATGATTATCAGACAATTGTATAATAACATTAATGTAAATGTGGCCGTCATGAACATGCATTACAAATAGGTAGTGCAAATATTTTAGTGTATTGACACTTTTTAAAAATAGCAGTACTTTCCTATTACATAGAAAACCCTTTAGAGGAAGGTGTCTCAAGTTAAAAGACATGTTTTTGCAGTTAAAGCAATACAATTTTCACATCACGCCTTGAAAAAATAAACTCATAAATCTATCTCAGGATTTTATACAATGAGCAGCTATATAAACTCAGTTATAACCATAATTGTTACAGAAACAATCAGCTATTATCAAAAATGCATTCAAAGTAGAAATAATGAAAAATGAAAGTATACATTATAAAATTTGATATTTAAATATTTTGTAAATATAATATTGCTGATCTCAAATCATTAAATTATAATGTTTAAAATAAATAAATAAATAAATATATATATATACACACACACACACATATTATATATATTATGTTTTGTCTCTTGGCCTACTGTTGTTTTACTGCCTACTATCATCCTTTTTTCTAATTACTACAGCTCTTATAATAATAAAATTAATTTAAAATCTGTGCCTATTCTTACAATTTTCAGATGTAAATGGGCAATTACAAATCTTTTATTATTTAAACAATCAATGTTTGATATCAACAAACCAAATTACTAGTCATTTTTGAGTAGGGCATAAAAGTTAAAATTTACAATTATGGAAGTGTTTGTTTCACAGAAAACTGTCTTGAATCAAAAAGAATTTCACATGGTTATATATGTATAGATCAGATATTAAAATATAATATGGACATTAGACACATCCATCCATCTAGTTATCTAAACATGTGAACTGATCATTTGCATATTATATACTATTTAATTTACAAAAATACTAATTATTTATGTGTATGCAAAAAAACTTAAATAAGTGACATTTGTTATGAACATTAGACACTGTAATGAGTCCCAAATATCTTACTTAATGTTAACCAAAGAAGAATCAAGAAAGCCTTCTACCTGGTGAGATAGTGTATGTGAAGAGGTATATAAACCAACACATTCTACACAAATAATATACTGCAATCGTTGGCATCATTGTTCTGCAGAAAACAATGCTTTACAGCATTTACTTTTCAAAATAATGTACATTCTATTATGATTTCTATATCAAATGCTTTTTATAAATTAAGATACTGAAAAATCAAAAGGTAGGCAACATCTGGAATATTATTTTTGTATAAGATATAATACTGATTGTTAAAGACTAGCTACATTTCAAAAACAGGAGTTTAAAAGTCTGTCTTCTTTTTTATGATTTCAGTCACTGTGAGTCAAAATTAAATTAACCTTAAAATTAGATTAAAGACTATTGATTAATTTACACCAGTAAGAGTATTTTTATAATTATATCAAAGTCGTCAAAAGTAAATTCATCCTGAAAATTTCTGTATTGTGGGGATGCTGGGAAGATGGCGGAGGAGTAAGATGCGGAGATCACCTTCCTCCCCACATATACACCAGAAATACATCTACATGTGGAACAGCTCCTACAGAACACCTACTGAATGCTGGCAGAAGACCTCAGACCTCCCAAAAGGCAAGAAACTCCCCACGTACCTGGGTAGGGCAAAAGAAAAAAAATAAAAAACAGAGACAAAAGAATAGGGACGGCACCTGCACCAGGGGGAAGGAGCTGTGAAGGAGGAAAGGTCTCCACACACTGATGTGACGAAAGAAACGCAAGAACAGCTTCAGGGCTAACAGTACATTTTGACTTCTGTAAGAAACTTGCTTTGCTTACTTGCTTGGGGCAGGAAGAACCGGGTTCCTGACTGGCTGATTCAAAATTAAACAGCTCCCTCCCTCCCTGGGAACTTCCCGTCCTGTGAAGGGTATAAAAGCCTCGCGCGACTGTTAGTCGGGGTCTCACTCACTTCTCTCCGAGTGGGACCCTGTCCGGACAGTTTGTGTAAGCTTCTATACTTGTATAGATCCTTTGCTAATCTTTCTGCTTGGTGTTGGTGATTCTCGGGTGTCCTTGGTTGGGACACGGGTCGCATTTACCGGGGAACTTGACTCCAGGCGTGTCGGTCCCGGACCGTAACACTAGGAAGCCCCTTCGCGGGCAGAGATTGCGGGAGGCGGAGGGGGGGGCTTCGAAGCCAAGGAGGAGAGCACAGCAACAGGGGTGCGGAGGGCAAAGCGGAGAGATTCCCGCACAGAGGATCGGTGCCGACCGGCACTCACCAGTTCGAGAGGCTTGTGTGCTCGCCCGCCGAGGCGGGAGGGGCTGCGAGCTGAGGCTCGGTTTCGGTTTCGGTCGGAGCTCAGGGAGAGGACTGGGGTTGGCGGCTTGAACATAGCCTGAAGGGGGTTAGTGCGCCTCGGCTAGCCGGGAGGGAGTCCGGGGAAAAGGCGAGCCTGTGCAGCCCGCCACTGCCAGGTTCCCGGGATCCAGGGACAACTTCCCCGGGAGAACGCACTGCGCGCCTCAGTCTGGTGCAACGTCACACCGGCCTCTGCCACCGCAGGCCCGCCCCACACTCCGTGCCCCTCCCTCCCCCCGGCCTGAGAGCGCCAGAGCCACCGACTCAGCGGCTCCTTTAACCCCGACCTGTCTGAGCAAAAAACAGACGCCCTCCAGCGACCTACACGCAGAGGCAGGGCCAAATCCAAAGCTGAGCCCCTATGAGCTGTGAGAACAAAGAGGAGAAAGGGAAATCTTTCCCAGCAGCCTCAGAAACAGCGGATTAAAGCTCCACAATCAACTTGATGTACCCTGCATCTGGGGAATACATGAATAGACAGCGAATCATCCCAAATTGAGGAGGTGGACTTCTAGAGCAAGATCTATGATTTTTTTCCCCTTTTCCTCCTTTTGTGAATCTGTATGTGTATGCTTCTCTGTGAGATCTTGTCTGTATAGCTTTGCTTCCACCATTTGTCCTAGCGTTCTATCCGTCCATTGTTATTTTTAATTATTTTTTCTTAATAATTAATTTTAATATAAATAACTATTATACTTCTTCCTTCCTTCCTCCCTCTCTCCCTCCCTCCCTCCCTCTCTCTCCCTCCGTCTCTCTCTCTCCTTCTTTTCTTTCTTTCTTTCTTTCTTTCTTTCTTTCTTTCTTTTCTTTCTTTCTTTCTTTCCTTTCCTTTCCTTTTCTTTCCTTCCTTCCTCCTTTAGACAACAAATCATCCCAAATTGAGCAGGTGGACTTTGAGAGCAAGTTTTATGATTTTTTCCCCTTTAACTCTTTTTGTGAGTGTGTATGTGTATGCTTCTGTGTAAGATTTTGTCTGTATAGCTTTGCTTCCACCATTTGTCCTAAGGTTCTATCCGTCCCTTTTTTTCCTCTCTAAATAATTATTTTTTAATTCAATAACTTTATTATACTTTATTTTATTTTACTGTATCTTCTTTCTTTCTGTTTTTCCTTCCTTACCTCCTTCCTTCCTTCCTTCCTCCCTCCCTCCTTTCTTTCCTTCTTTCCTTCTTTCTTTCTTTCTTCCCTCCTTCCTTACTTCCTTCCTTTCTATCTTTCTTTCTTTATTTTTCTTTCTTTCTTCCTACTTCTACTAATTCTCTCTTTCTCTCCCTTTTAATCTGAGCCGTAGCCGAGTG